GGGCTTCTTATTTTCAGTAAAAGGTTCTAAATCATTGGAATTGAGGACAAGAATAGCTTATTGTAATGTGTGATAACACTGTTGTCTGAACGCATGGTAAGAACACAACAGGTTTTCTTATTAATACTAGAAAGGTAGATATTGCTGTATGAGAATAGCTGGCCATGTCTGGGATTTTACAGATGAAATTTGGATAAAATACTAAGAGCAATTTATTCTGCTAGTTTTTCTTATGATGGGTGCTGTGTGGTGTGGAAGAAAACTTGGATCCTAAACCTAGTTCTAATACCTACCAGCTCTATGATGCTGTAGATGAGTCATTAAACTTTAATGAGCTTCATTTTCTTCTGTTTCAAAAAACAGCTTTAACCATCTACCCAAGAATGGTTTTCAGAATTTGAAATCATGATTGTAAAGTACCTAACACAGTGCCTGGCAAATGACAGGTGCTGAGTAAGTGGTAAGAATTGTTTTTATGTTGCGTATACTGAGTGTTTCTGCTACTAAAAGTGGGATCTAAGGAGTATAATTTGATTCTATTATTTTGGTTTTTCCAATCTGTTTTTTGAGTCTTTTTCCTGGAGGGTGAAAATTCAACATTTTTCAGGTTGAATGTTATTTTCATCTCCTTGGTTTCCTAAAACATTTCCCTTATGAACCTTTACTTACCTTATTGGACTGGACAAAAAGCACTATTCAGAGACCCTGAAATAATTTTCTCCTTCATTGTTCCCCATGCTTCCTGAAATCATTTTTAGAATTAAAATATTTTAAAAATGTAAGTTAAAAACAAGAATCATTTGATTTGAGAACGGTAACATATATGGGCTGTTTTTATTCTATTGCCGGTGGTTGTGGTTCATCAGCCCTGTGGGAGGATGATGGGATGGGGAGAGCTCAAGCCACAGAGAGGAGAGGGTGGGTGGGTGAGGTCAGAGAACCCACTGAGGGCTGTGTCTTTTCGGGGCTCACACCCATCTTGCTGTAGATTGGGGACATCTGCAGCCGCTTACATTTTCATAACTATTAAGACTGCCTCAGACACCTGGGCTCAGTCCCACTGGGGACCTGGAGGGTGGGGGTGATATGAAGGGCATATTGGATTTCCCCACCCAAGGAGTCCATCAGGAACAGCGGCCTGCCCACTCTGGAATGCTCCACTGCTGTCCCCAGGCATAGGGTCCCAGTGCCTGCAGTAGACGCTGCTACCCATACACATACGGCAACAACTGGGTCTGCTATGTGTATTCTTACTTTTTGTCTGCATACCCTGTGATTGCCCCTTTGTTTTAGGTTCTTGTGATAATTTATCGAGGGAGAAGAGAGATTTTTGTCCTGCCATTTTTGTCTGGAACCACCAGCCTCCATCACAACATAGGATGTCAGGCCTAGAGCACAATTGGATCACCTACTATGGAAGGTGGGAGAGAAGAGAAATGTCTGCCATCTCTGGGTGAATTACAAGGGATCTCTTTACATAATATGAAATCTGTTTCCCATTTGACTGTGGAAAAGCATTTCTTAATCCAGCGCCTTAGACCGCTCGGCCACGCCACCTCACTGGAAAAGTATTTCTTTAGTTTCTTTCTCTGATGCTCACATAAAAATAGACTTAAGAACTAAAAAGGGACTGATCATATTTTCTCTCAAGCCCCAGGCGCTTGCACACACCAATGAACTCCTGATTTCTCTCCCCTGCTGTCGGAAAGTAAATAGAAACGGACAGCTGATGAGACTTTCACACTGGGTGTATATTTGCTGATGACTCACTAAGAATTCACAGTCAAGGTGCCAGTTGTTCTTCCGATATAGAAAGAAAAACTATTTTAAGCAAAACTGTAACCTCACCGATGCTAGTATCACAGCCGCAGGAAATCCACGTAATGCAGGTTTCGCGCCAGACTTTCACCCCGCGCCACACTCCGCCCCTGCCCTTCCCATGCCCCGCCCATCAATGCTCCGCCCAAACCACGCCCAGAGCCCGCCCAGGCCCCGCCCCTCTCCGCCACGGGCACGCCCCCTTCCGGAGCCTCCAGCCCGGGTGTGACAAGCCTACAAAGTTTGTGTCCGTCTCAGGCCCCGTCCTGGCAGCCCGCACTGTCCCTTCTCACCCCCACAGACAGCAGCCCATCCTCAGGGTAGTTCACACCAGACCGGCCCGAGTGGAGAAGGTGGAAGGTGGAGCTGGGTTCGAGCCGGGTCTGTCCCGACAGCCCGAGCGGAGACCTGGCTCCAGCTGTCAGGTGCCCGCACCCTCCACCCTCAAACTCGGCGTTGGGGGGAACTGGAAATCCTACTCCGTGGTCAAGGAGAGAGACTTTGGTTGGGAATAATGTTGAGCTAATGTGGTATCTCTCTCTCTCTCCTTTAAAAATATGTTTTTATTGACTTTAGAGAGCGGCAGGGAGAGGGATAGAGATAGAAACATCAATGATGAGAGAGGATCACTGCTCGGCTGCCTCCTGCACAGCCCCTCCTGGGGATCGAGCCCGTCACCCGGGCATGTGCCCGGACCGGGAATCAAACTCTGACCTCCTGGTTCAT